AAAAATGCAGCTCCCCAGCCAGCTCCCCAGGCTCGGACAGAAGTGTCCTTACTGAATAAGGAGTGAGGTTTGTGTCCCCTCCAAGAGGCAAAAGCCTCGTGAACCAGCTCTGCCCTTCCCTCAGCATCCTTGTTTGTGGGGAGCTGAGGCCAGCAGGCTGGATCAGGCCTTTGGAGAAGACACACAACCCCTTTTTCTCTCCTCTGGCCAGAGCCAGGAGGGGATTTTGAGCCCTATCCATAACTAATGGATCTGGCACGCATTCCTAGCTGCTGGCAAACAGACCAATGGGCTTTTCAGCCCCGATCCCTTTCAGATGGGAATCGTGCTACCAACCTACATATCACCCAAAAGGGTGTTAAGTGACTCCGGGAGGGACAAAGGCAGAGAGAGCTGCCAGAGCAGTGCTCTGAGGAGCTGGATGGGATGGCAGAGGATTCTTTTACACTCCTAAGGCTTCTGGCTTGAGATCCACCTTTATTTAGGATTTATATAATCTGAACTATGAGCAACAGCAAAACTTTAAGTGGTGGAAGGGGATACAAAGAAAACAGGCAAACAGAGTCTTTTCTCAGCAGTTAAAATAGGAAAAAAAAGAACCTACAGTGGGATTTCAGTTTTCCAACTGTCCTTAAAACCTCCCCAGTTTAATTCAAGAGGCATCACTGCCTCGCCTGCTGATAACATACAAAAAACTCACAGCAAACGCTGTCGGAAGACAAAAGCAGAAGTCTGTTTCCAAGTATTGTAACTGTGAAGGGAAATGGAAAACAAGGGACTAAGTGCAGAGCTGTAATTTGGACACTGAGCAAGCAGGGGAACTCTTAAGGGAGTAAAAGTGCGTGGAGTTTGTCAAGTTTCCTGGTGCTGTGGACAACAGCAGAGTCCCTGGGGAGAGATTTCTCATCTAGCTGCTGGCCACCCTGCAGACAATCAGCTGCCTCCCAGCACTGCCTTCCCCCCAAAAGCCCTGATTCCAACCATTCTCACCTTCAAAAGGCCTTTCTTCAGCAGAAACGATCTGCATGGTGACCACAAAGGTGTCCTTGCTGGAATAAAATGTCCTCCAACTGTGGGGAGATGCTCATCTTGTCAGCTTCGCTTTACCTGCAACCAGGAGGCTTTTGGAAGCCACCCACCACTTTTGGGGAAAGCTCCACGCAACAGGCTGCCCATGGCCACGTGGCAGCAAGCCTCCCAAGGTTCAAGAGCCTCCTTCTTGGTGATATGAGCTCCAGTCCCTTTGGTGAGAGCCTGCTGTCACCCTCAGCACTGGCCTAAGCTCAGCCCCCAGACACCACGGAAGGTTTGATGACAAATCCCTGGGAATCCCTTGCTCTCACTCTAGCCCCAGCTTGCCCATTTTCACTTCCACCAGCCCCTGCTCCTCAGCTCCCCACTTAAAATGCAGAGCCACGTTATCTTCCATCACCCCACTCGACACAGCTCGCAGGGCATCAACCTTGGCTCTGAGTGTTCCCCATTGATCTCCTGCTTTCCAATTCCACCCTTCCCATCCCCAAATTGTCAGTCCACAGAGACTAATTTGCCACCGAAATAATCCATTTGTGGCTGCAGGATTTGAAAGCCAGGCTCCATTTTCACAGCCACGGACTGTGAATGCAGCAGGAGGTTTGGGTTTTTTTTTTTCCTTTCCACGATGATTAGTTCCATCCATTTCAGGAGCTTTGCTGAGGGGAGGGTTGGATGGTAACGCAGCCTCCGGGGCAGAGCAGGGGACTCCAGGGGCTCAGCTAATTGGAAATTAAAGGCAAGGAAGAAATTCCTTGGACTCTCAGGCCAAGTAGATAGCAAGCTTTTAGCATTTAGCAGATGTATTTAAATATAAAGAAAGGAATATCACGCACAGTCTTGGACGTCATCTTTCCTTTAGCTCTTACATCTTGCAGCTGGATAAAAGAAGCCACCAGCTTTACTGCTACCTTGACCAGCCAGTAAACCCCCACCCTTGGCCCACTGACACCCCTGGTCCTTGCACCAGCCTCTGAACTGCTCTTGGGCAGCCCTGGGGGCTGGGAAATCGATCCACGTTAAAAATAATACAGGGAAAACAAACCCAAGCTATTTTTAACCCCAGTCAGCCCCATGACCTGGAAGGCATCTCTGGGAGACTGTCCCCAGCGAGGTGTTACTGCCTTTACAGGTGGGCACAGACAACCAGAGAATGTAGTTCTGAGGAATTACTTTCTTTTTCTTCATTAGTTCTTCATCTCGCAACTTTAAAAGCTCTGGGAAGGGCATCGATTTAGAATTCTTCCTCGCTTGCCAGTTCTTATTTAAATTTAAATTGGTAGCTTCTTCACATTAAAGCTTTGACCTTTGACAATAAATGGATATAAAGAAGATAATAAACAGTCATCAAGTGAATTCCCTTAGAGCAGCCAGATTTCTAGAGCAAAGTCTGGAGAAATGTAGGCTATGGGGAGACCTTCTGGCTCTCCACAGCTCCCTGACAGGAGCCTGGAGCCAGGTGGGGGTCGGGCTCTGCTCCCAAGGAACAAGGGACAGGACAAGAGGAAACAGCCTCAAGTTGCCCCAGTGGAGGTTGAGGTTGGACCACTCCTCTGAGCCCAGTGCAGGGGCGGCGGGCCCACCCCGGGAGGGGTTTCCAAGCCGTGGAGATGTGGTGTGAGGGACACGGGGCAGTGGGGACCTGGCAGTGCTAAGGTAAGGATTGGACTCAGTGATCATAAAGGTCTTTTCCAACCAAAACTCTTCCATGAGTCCATGCACTGAGAGGTTATTTCAACAAGGAAGGAGGACTCTGTGTGCTGGGTAACACTGGGTGTGCTGAGAACACGATGGCTTGTCCAAGCAAGTTACACAGCCAGGGGAACAGCAGAGTAGCCTTCAAAACTGCAAGCTGCAAATGAGCAAAGACCAAAGCAGGAGCAGGCAGGGACTGGGGGTAGCAGGGGTCCAGCACGCTCACGAGGCACACACTGCAAACACTGAGAAGGGAGAAACATGTCTGGGCCAGTGCTGAGACAAGGAGCTGTGATCCTGCCACGAGCTCTCTTACTAAGCAGCACCTTAGAATTCACCAGAGACTCAGCCCTGAATATTTGAGGCCTGACAGGGATTTTCAGGGAGTCCCAGAGACAGACTCCCTCCTCTGGTGGTACCTTTATCTGCTGGTAACAGTGAACTGCAGGGCTCGGGACACTCCTGGGTGACAGCAGCACTAAATCTGCAGCTCCTCCTCCCAGCCCTTCTCACCCAGCACCGCTGAAGAGCAGCCTGGTCGGAATCTCTCAAGATCTGAGCCATCCCCACTATGTCAGAACAAGGAGAGATGTTATGGATGAACTGGAAATGCCTGGGTATCCTGGAAGGCCAATTAATACCACCCTAAGGCAGCTAAGACGTTTGGACTGTAAACAAATGCCATTTGCAGATGCACAAACCGAGTTCTGGCAGCCGATGAGACGCTGGCTGGGATTTCTGCTAGGTGGAACAGACTCAAGCACTGTTCTTATTACAATCTTATAGGATTATCCAGCTTCAGGAGATAGAGAGTAGGAGTTACTGTGGAGAGGATTACAGGTAGCATAAAGCATGGGAATGGAGAGAACGAGAGCATTTGGGATCACGGGGAGAGTAAGAACAAGCAGCTGAGAAGCCCATAACAGGCCGTAGCACAGAAGCAGAGCTCTCAACTCATCTCTAGCCAGCCCCAAGCTTATTGGGAAGGAGACAGGGCCCTGCAGAGGTACAGAGCACCTCAGTTTTCCCCAAGGCAGCACAGCATCATGCAGAGAGGGCACGGGTACTCTACAGAACACTGCAGGGGTGGAGTGGAGCTGTCAGCAGTGCAAACACCATGTGCAGGGCTGCTTCCAGCTACACCCCTGAAGACCCAGAGTAACCTCGCTCAGGTTTGTTCAGGACACATTTATTAGGGAGGGCAAAGGGCATGAAACAGGCTCAGAAGCAGATGGGGAACACACGACGTGAGACTGGGCGAAGGATCGGCGCTTACTGGGAACTCCAGCTAGAGAAGTGCTACACCCAGGCTGTGGAAAGTTTGCACAGGGAGAATTCCTCAGGGAGTGTATGCTGCAAACAGGGTCAAGAGTCAACATCTGATGTAAACGGGCATTTCAGAGCCTGCAGTTGGCATTTCTGAGCCTGCAGTTGGCATTTCTGAGCCTGCAGTTGGCTGAGCCCCGGTCATGAGACCAGAAACGTGACTTAAAGCACGTTTGGGAAATGAAGAAAATCCCCCAAATGAACAACTGAACCCCTGCACAGCATCAATAAAGTGATACTGACACAGACACTCTCTTCAGATGTCTTTATAGCATGAGGTAGGGGATGTTTGCAGCGACAGAGGGAAGGAAAAGAAGGCAGAGTGGCCTCCCTGGAGCCAGCCCCTTGGTCGGGAGGAGGAGGGAGCTCTGGTTTGCACCCAGAGATGCACAGTGGTGGTCTGGGCTGTACAGCTTCACCCAGCACCCACAAGTTTAGGAAGAAAGGAAAAACAAGTCGGTGTCCAAAGAGTTCACAATGGAAATCAAATGTTAAAACAACAAGTTACAGGCAAACCAAACACGGGCAGTTTGGGCAGGGTTTTCTGGCAGCTGTAGGTTTCCTGATCCATCCCCCTGTTGGGGGCATCCAAGAGAGATTTTGGAGAGCAGGTTGGGTGGGAGGAGCGAGAGGAAAGGTGCATCCCGTGGCTTCTCTGAGGTGGTGGCAGAGCTGTGGCTGTCCAGAGAGCTTTTACAGCTGAAACAGTCTTCACTGAAAAGTTACCATTTACGGGAACAACTAAAACAACAGGAGAGAACGGGCTAAACCCTGAGCACTAGCAATATAAACACTGGCCCTTTTGGAAGAGCAAGTGATGATATCATACGTACATCACACCCTTCCTGGGTAAACAGGAGTGCCAACATGAGAAGACATGCTTTGTAAACTCTATGTCCAGCTGCTTATAGCTCTACTGTGTAGTTCTTGGGGGCTTGCACAGAAGATCAGTGAGGCCAAAAGCACTTCTTAGGATCAGACGTGGGTGGTGTCAGGCACTTCCCTAGCTTCTCACAGCCTGGAGGAGACCAGTTCTGTCAAAACCAAACAAAAAAATATAACAGGAAGATGATTTGTATCAAGGATCTGCTCAGCCCTGTCTCCTGACCAACCCTTTTTGATCCTCACAAAGACGCTCTTATGTCCTGCTTGAAAAATGAAACTCCTCCTGTAGTCGGTGCCCCTGAGCTCATCAAATTCCCAACTCCAACCACTATTCAAAAAAATAAAAAAAGCTTTAGCAAAGGCCACAAATCCTGCTGGAGCAGATGACCCCCTCTTCTGGGACACAGTGCTCTCTCCTGTACAAACGCAGTCCTCTGGCACCCTAGTGACCTCCCTCTCTCCTGCAGTAGCACGGAGCAAGAAGACCATGAGGTGAACCCCCAATTCTCCTGGGATTTCCAGCAAAGAGTTATCACTCTTAGCACTAAGATACCCATACAGTTCCTTGAGGAAACCAGCAAAAAGCAACAGAAGGTCCAGGATGTGAGGGAGATAAGAACGCCGCTGTTTTAACGAGCATTTTGATGGATGAAGTCACGAGCAGATGGAGTAGGAGGCATCTATGAGACAACTACCCCAGTGCATGCAGACCTCAACTATCCTCCTCCCTTCTTTCCCTGTTTCTTGAACCACATTTCTGCAGCACGGGTACAGCAGAGAAAGTGTGTCAGCAGAGAAACCCTGTGCAGACCTCAGCTTCCAAAGGGATTAACAACAGAAGGCAGCTGGCTAAAAGAACTTTTTCAGTTGCATTGGAGTTTTGCCGTTGAAAAATTGGGGGCTGCAGGGATGGGAATGGCAGGTTACAGTTCCCACCCTGCCCCCAGAAACCTTTTGTGTTCCCTCTCTGTCCCTCCCTCTCTCAAGGTCTATCCATCCATGGGATGTCACCTAATTAAAGGTCAGTTCAGCTCTGAACTTTCATTTTACTTCTTTCTCTCCTTCAAGTCATTTTCTTGGAATTAAATTTCTACAGAAGAGAAGAAAAGCTTCACCCCAGAAAAACTGCAGGAGCAGGTTTCTATTCCACCTAGCTGACAACAGATGGCAGTGAGACACCAGCTATGGCTGCAGAGGGAGCAGACCACGGAGGGGAGCTTTGGCAGAAGGCACCTCACTGCACGAAGGGTTTGAGAACAGTTAATGCTGTTTTCTAAATCCCTTTCTCAATTTTAAAATGCACAACCACCAGCGGAAATTTCAGGTGCCTGACCACTTGTAGAAGCAACAGAGATCCAAAGAAACAAATTAAATGTTCGTTCTGTGAGGAGGACAGGCTGAGAGCCCTGGGGATGCTCAGTCTGGAGAAGAGAAGCCTCAGAGGGGATCTGATCAGTGCTGAGCAAGAGCTAAAGGGCCCCCGGGGGGCAAGAGGCTGGGGCCAGACTCTGGTCAGTGGTGCCCAGAGACAGGACAAGGGGCAACAGGCACAAACTGGAACCCAGGAGGTTCCACCTGAGCAGGAGGAGAAACTTCTTTGGTGTGAGGGTGGCAGAGTCGGGAGCAGCTGCCCAGAGAGGCTGTGGAGTCTCCTGCTCTGGAGAGATTCCAAACCCTCCTGGGGGTGACCCTGGGCACCCTGCTGTGGGTGAGCTGCTGGAGCAGAGGGGCTGGACGAGATGATCCCCAGAGGTCCCTTCCAACCCCACCATGCTGGGTTGGGAGCCACCCCAACACCCTAACCAAGCCCCCCCAGTGATATCAGCATCAGTCTCAGCCCCAGCCCACTTTCCTGGATCCCTGCTGGAAGCTCTGAGAGCCTGAGGACAGACACCATGTGTGCTGCAAGTCAACCCCTCAGTGGAGCCAGCAGGGCTCTGCTGAATGGAGCAATTCCCACCCCCTGCCCCAGGAGGAACACACAGCAGAACTGGCTCTGCAGGAGCTTCATCTGTGCTGCTGGTGGGATTCACCACAGATGGGCCAGCAAACACCTCCCCCTGCTCAGGAGGGCTCAGGCTGCTGCTCTGACATCAATCCTCAGGCTGCAGCAGCTACAAAATGATCCATCTGCTTTGCTCATGGATAAGTCAAAACAAATCTTCTCCTCTGTCCCAGGAAGGATATTAAATGCCTGTATCAAATCATGTATCAATAGTGTTGGGCATGGTATTAGGAGGTGTTATTCATCTCCCAAAGACAGATTTAGGGCCACATCAACCCCAGCAATACTATCACTCAAAAAAGATCTGGTTATCTTCATTTCTGGTCTCAAAAGGCAATAATTTGGTGCCTGTTTATTTTAGTTTTGTGACTGTGTAATTAGCCTGTTAGTTTACATAGAATAGAAAACTCATAATGAAAACTTCTCTGGAGAGATTCCAAACCTGCCTGGAGGTGATCCTGGGCACCCTGCTGTGGATGACCTGCTGGAGCAGGGGGGTGGGATGAGCTGATCTCCAGAGGTCACTTCCAGCCCCACCAGTCTGGGATTCTGGGATTCTGTGGTGCTTTCCAATGAGATTTGAACGTTTCTCCTGGGATTAGAACACCCCCCAGCCCATTGGGGAGGACGTCCCACCTCAGATCTGGCCTGAATGATCTGGTTTGAGCTTGGCCAAGCATTGGAACAGTCATTAGCTGCCTCAGCTAACGGCATAACCAGGCTTGGCCAAGCCCTGGGTGCTGCTGTACCCAAAGCAGAAGCAGAAGCCCATAATCTGCAAAAATTCTACCCAACTGAGACAGAACAAGGCACAACTCACTCTCAGGAGTCCCAGGGAGAGGGCTGGGGTGAGGGATGAACTCTGGGACCTCCAGTCCAGCACTATTTCCATTCCACAGACCAAAGACACTGCTTGTTGACAAACAGGGACACCAGATGAATTCAAAACACCTAAATTTGCTGGAGCAGGGTAGCTGCAGAGCACCAGAGGAGGCCTACCATGTATGAACCAGTCTGGGAGCAGGAGTTAGCACAGAATAAATAAATGCCTTTCCAGTGAAGGTCTCTGGCAGCAGGCAGGCACTGGGGAGAGTGCCTGAACCCAAAAGATCCCAGAGGAGCACAAAACAGTGTTTATTAAGGGAAAAGTTGAATAATGAAAGAAAACAACAGAGAAACAATGGTCCCTCAAATCTTCTTCCTACTTAACATCCAAAAATAAAAAGATGTGACAAAGCTAAAAAAGATCTTTGCCTCCTTACTAAGGAGACACAGCTCCACATTTTGTGCTTTTCCTTCTGTCTGGAGATAGACTCGAAGCAGCAGGTACCAACTGTTTCTTTCAGAAGATTATTTCAGCACCAGAAAAATGTTGCCTGTTACTATTTTGTGTCAGTCTACAGGCACATCCCCTTAGACTACACACTCTCCTGTCATCTGACAACTTTACCTCCCACAAACCATCCAGTTTCCTTCCTAGGTTCTCACCAAACCAAGCAGCATTTGACAGGAAAGCCAAATTGTATCTTCCCAACATGGAACTTGAAATAGAAAACAGAATTGGAAAAGTTTGTTGTTTCAAGCCAAAAAACATTTGGAAAAATCAGGCATGGGTGGAATTGGAGGAGACTGAACAAGACCAAAGATACTTGCACAAACATCACTGAAAAAGAGCCACTGTCCCTGTCCCACCACTTAAAACACAGAGAACTTTTTGACATCTGCAGAAGGGGATTGGAAAGGAGAAGAATCTGCTGCAATATCTCTAAGGAAGGAAGCCACAGAGTTTATCAGAGTTTGTTGGTAGACTTTCCAGACCTAACCCCACTCACTTGGTACAAGCCTTTCCACAGGTAACAAAGAGTCCTCTCCTCCATGGAACAGCCCTTCAAACAGGAGGGCGTCCATCCCTTCTCCATCCCTTCCCACCACTAGGTGACATCAATAAAACCTTTACAAACTATATTTCAAGCTAAAGACTCTCAGAAGTATTCATGCTTTCAGTGCTCACCATGACAGCCTTGTCACACACGTTCAGCTGTGGCACCCCTGGCACCATGGTGGCTTTGTGCTGCTGGACAAGGACAGAGATTCGCTCCATAGCCCTCTGGTATTCATCACTGGCAAAGCTGGAAGGGGAGAAAGCACAGATGTTACTGGTGGGGCTCCATGCAGGGCACTGTTACAGGGTCCACATCACAAAGCTGGGTCAGGAGACTTTTCCTGGGTCATAGAAAAGGAGAAGAGCATGGAAACATGCAGCTGACACTAACTGCCCATGGGTCTTGCAGGGGAGAGGATCCTGCCCCTCTGCCCCACTCTGGGGAGACCCCCCTGCAGTGCTGGGGCAGCTCTGGAGTCCTCAGCACAGCAGAGCCAGGGACCTGCTGGAGTGGGGCCAGAGGAGCCCCAGCAATGCCCCGAGGGGGGCACCCCCCTGAGTGGGGCTGGGGCAGCTGAGAGGAGAAGGCTCCAGCTGGGGAGACCCCCGGGGGGCTGCGGGGGCTGCCAGGGGCCTGTCAGAAAGCTGGGGACAATGTCTTTAGCAGGGCCTGTTGCAACAGGACAAGGAGTGGTGGTTTGAAACTCAAAGAGGGAAATTTAGACTAGAGAGAAGGAAGAATTTTTTGCTGCTGAGGGTGGTGAGCCCCTGGCCCAGGCTGCCCAGAGAGGTGGTCGCTGCCCCATCCCTGGAACCATTCCAGGTGAGGTTGGATGGAGCTCTGAGCAACCTGCTCTAGTTGGGGATGTCCCTGCTCCCTGCAGGGGGGTTGGACGAGGTGACCTTGAAAGGTCCCTTCCCACCCAAAACCGTGATCTGGGCTGAAAGAATCCAGCCTGGCTGGGCCTGGAGGCTGCAGGTCTGAGATGCCCTGCTTAGGGCAGCAAGGACAGCAGATAGCTGGCCCACCCCAGCAAAGAATGGCTCATTTCTCAACGTGGGGCTTTATCTTTCAAAACCTGCTAGTCCCAGCGGCCCCAAACGTGTCACTTTGTGGTCAGGCAGATATGCTGCCAGCTCGTGTTGACTCCCCAGGGAGAAAGGTGGCCCAAACAAAACAAGGGGCTTCTGGGGTTGTCCTCAAGCTGTGCCTGAAATGATTATCACGGGAGACTTCCCAGACATGGGGTAAACACCTTGCCAGACACGTTAGCACACAAACAAGTTTGCTGAGGTGATCCTGCCAGCGTGTCACCCCAGAGGTCACCCAGGTCTTCACTCCTACAAGTGCTTTTCCTTCCTACACGTGCAGAGCCATTTATTGTAGGGAGACAAAGGTAAGGCCAAGATTTTGTTTTTCAAGTGTTCTCAAGCTAAGGGTTTCAAACACAACCATTGGCTAGTAAAACCTCACAATCACTAAGCAAGATGAACTCACATTATGCAAACAGGAAGATGGAGAAGAAGAATAGAAGTGACTTGGCCAAGACAAGAATACCTCCTCCATTTCGCAACACCCACCCTGGGGTTCTGCCCCATCTACATTCTTCCATTCCAGTTTTATTATTCCAAGCTGGGACCCATCTGTCACGCTCCAAACCCTCACACAGGCTTATAAATGATCAGATTTTTATCCACACGACTCCTCCAGTAGGTACTTGTTTAAGTGGTTCAGGGTGCACTTCACTAATGCTTCAAGTATTTCTAAAATGGAGGATTACTACCCAGTGATCTCATTTTGTCCATCACGTTAAGAGTCACTTAAAAAAAAAAAAAACAGAGAGAGGCAAATTGCTTCTGAAGATAAAAGAAACAATGCAGCTTGGTCCTGACCTCAGGCTCCCTTTGCTTACAGTCCAAGCTGGCCACCAGCCCCATGCTCCAGCTAATTTCCTTCTTTGAAAAACAATCACATTTCGAAGCCCAGTAATGTGCCAACAGTTTCCAGTAAACCCTATAAATATCCCATCTCGGCAGCCATCCAGAGAGAAGCTGATTGTGGGGATGGGCCTGAGCTTTGCTGATAGGGAACCGGAAGGGAATCTGAAATGACAAGATTGAGCAAACTGATCTGCTGCTCTCACACCCAGCTGGCTGGGTCCTGGTGGAGAGGCTGTCACCAGCTGTGTGACCTGCACGGAACACCCGAATTCAGGCTGTTCTTATGTTCAGGTTTGGGCCCCTCACCCCAAGAAGGACCTTGAGGGGCTGGAGCATGGCCAGAGAAGGGCAACGAAGCTGCTGGAGAAGGGTCTAGAGCCCAAGTGTGGGGAGGAGCAGCTGAGGGAGCTGGGGGTGCTGAGCCTGGAGCAAAGGAGGCTCAGGGGAGACCTTCTGGCTCTGCACAGCTCCTGACAGGAGCCTGGAGCCAGGGGGGGGTCGGGCTCTGCTCCCAAGGAACAAGGGACAGGACAAGAGGAAACAGCCTCAAGTTGCCCCAGGGGAGGTTGAGGTTGGCCCTGAGGAACAATTTCTTGCCCTGGAGGGTTGCCCAGGGCTGTGCCAGGCTGCCCAGGGCAGTGGTGGAGTCCCCACCCCTGGAGGGGTTTCCAAGCTGTGGAGATGTGGTGCTGAAGGACAGGGGTCAGCAGTGCACTTGGTAGAGTTCAGGTAATGGTTGGACTTGATGATCTTAAAGTTCTTCTATGATGATCTAAAGGAACTTCTATGAAGCTCCTAAATTTGCTTGCTCCTCTCCCCACATATCCCACCTTAGCTCATGCAGCAGCTGCCAGCCACAACAACCACCAAAAACAAAGGGGCAGAGAGAAGTTTGGGAGCTGCCCAAGACCACGTCTGGCTCCCAGCCTGAGGACACTGAAGGCAGTGGCCACTTGGCTCAGCCACTCCCGCAGCCCGGGGACACACCGACCTTCCTCTCACTCTTCCTTTCCAGCCACAAAGGATCAGGGGAAAAAAACCCAGTGGGTTTTGCAGAGCGAGGCAGTGAGGGTTTGATGCTAACCAGTGCTGACGGGCAGAGGGTGGGGGAGCTGTGGGGACAAACACACTGGGAAAAGGCGAGCAGGAGGGATGGGCACAGCACAGCACACGGGAGCCAGACCTGGTTTAAAGCCTTTAAAGCAGAGCTTTAGCTTTAAACTTTTAAAGGTTTAAAGTAGAGCTCGTGCTCTACTGCTGGAGACGTGAAAGGTAGCTCAGGGAGACACATGTGCCCCAGTGTTTTGGGTTTCTGCTGTGCCAGGATTTGAAAGCTCTCCCAAACCTGAGCTAATCCCACTTTATTAAGACCCTCCAATGAAGGATCAATATGAATGAATACGTATTTTAATCAATTGTTAGAGTCTAACAGTTACTCTAGATAGCAAATCATTTAATGCCTCCTCCTGCTGCATTTGTAACTATCTAATGTGTTTATTTCTGTCACATTCTTGTGTCATCTCTCCAGCGTTTAAAATCTTCTTCTGGAAATGGACTCCTACGATAATTCTATAATTCTCTTAAGATATTCTCCTAAAATAATTCTCCTAAGATATTCTATAAAACATTGCTGCTCGCTAATTAAGCATCTTTGCAAATATTTAAGTGCTAAAGAGAGATCCCAATTTCATCCAGCGAAATGGCTCCTCATATATAGGCTTCCAGAAGAGCTGTAATCTGGACAGCGCAGTGGAAAACACAGCTGGGCTCTGGATGAAAGATCAACAATACCTTGTCACCACTGCTGCTTTTTGCTCCAAATACGCCAGTCCTGTTGCAGTGCTAAAAAAAAAAATCTTTGCTATAATCTTAATTACTGCATTTAGCCAGGGCATTGTTGCTCATTAGCAACCTCCGACGTGCGGATGCCGCGGTATGGAGTAGGCTCAAGCCGTTTTAAATCATCCTCTTGCTTTAATTCCCATGTTCAGGACACTCCTGGGTCTTTCAGCAGCTCAGCAGCGACAGGAAATCTTGGCCTAACCTCAGCTCCTGGCGTTTCTGAACTGCTCCCCCCTGCAGCGCCGAGGCTTTTAGATGATTTCAGCACTTTGCAGAGGCTGAGTGACTTCCCCAAAGCGTGATAGCAACGGCTCCGCGCCTACAAAAGACCCACGCTCCTCACATTGAGTGCAAAGCTGGCTAAAGCTGAAGAACGTGTGTAGATTATGCTCCAAGTCCTACCACTAACCTAGAAACCTTGTCTCAGTAGGGCTTAACGTGCTCTTAAGCTGGCTAAACCTGTTGACACTGGCTTAAAACATATCCGATGGCAGCTGCCTCCCTCGTGTTGAAGCACACGGCAGTGATGGACCCTGAGTGCTGGAAGGTGTCACTCAATCCTGGAAGCTCATCACAGATTGTCTTCAGAGGCCTCAGTGGACTCTCTTCCTTATCCAGATGTGGGTCAAGGCTCTGTGAGGCAGGGGAGCATGATGCCTCTGGGATGGCAGCAGTCCTGGCATCCCCTGGAGTCACCCACTGAGACAAAGACTTGCTGGTAGGAGGGGTTGGTGGTCTTCTCTTGGTCCCATGAACAGCTCTGAGGCCATCAACACAAGAAGGACATGGACCTTATTACGGCCTTCTAGTACCTGAAGGGGGTCTACAAGAAAACTGGGGAGGAACTTTTTACAAGGGCTTATAGCAATAGCACAAGGAGTAATGGCTTCAGACTGGAAGAGGGGAGATTTAGGTTAGAAATTTAGAAGTTATTCATTGTGAGGGTGGTGAGACCCTGGCCCAGGTTGCCCAGGAAAGCTGTGGATGCTCCATCCCTGGAGATGTTCAAGGCCAGGCTGGATGGGGCTTTGAGCAACCTGCTCTAGTGGGAGGTGTCCCTGCCCGTGGCAGGGGGCTGGAACTAGAGGATTTTTAAGGTCCCTTCCAATCCAAATCATTCTATGACACCCCCATTCCTCACCCTGAGGAGCTCTGGTGTTGCTCTGACAGATCTGCTTAGCTCCATGAAGCACACCAAGATGCAGCATCCACGCAGCAATTTGTGTTTACTGACTGTGTACGGGAGGGTTAAAACTGTGTCCAGCCCTATGCAAGAAGTGCATTTTGAGACAAAATCTGCCTTTAATCTGCATGTAAAATGGGGCTAATTACTTCACAGTAATCAGGCTGAGTTGTTAACGTGGCTGGGAACCTCTCTCACATGGAGTCCCATCGTTTCCCAGGCTGCAGGACCGGGCTGTGACATTCTCTGTTCCAAAAGAGTCGATATTATCTATACAAGTT